ACTGTTCTTTCACCCCCTCCTGACATTAATTAGGGGAGGGGAGAAATTGAATTAAACTGCTTGAATGCCAATCGTGCCATACACATCAGCTATATCATTTAACTTGAGAATCACAGCAATGTTACAGGTGAAGAATGAGAGATACAGAAGACAGGTGACTTATGACCCATGGTCATACAGCCAAGGACATGCATGACCTCTATAATAAATTACTCTCTCATTCAAACCTTTGCCCAGTTACCTCTGGAAAATCTCTCTCTATGCTTATAGCTTTCAGTCCTCTTGTTAATCAAAACAAAACAAAACAAAAACACTGTAAGGGTAGTAGTACTAGTGATACACTTGACACCAAAAGAAAGCTTACTTGTTGAGGGAAAACTATACCTAAGAACTTCCATAAAACTTTCTGACCTTGAAAGTTGGTTTAGAATCTCTCTGAAACAATCATTATATCTCCTCTTCTTCCAAATAAGTCTGATTGTCCTCAGGCTGTAACATTCAAGATAAATAAAACACTGTCTAATTTAATTATTTTGATGACTAACATTGCAACAGTTATTTTTTCCAACATTTTATTCTTCCCTAGGGTCTTAGATCTCTTAACTTCCCCAACAGAGAGAGAGCAAGAGAAAGGTGATTGGCATTCTATAAAAATAATCTACTACTCAGGCCGTTCCAAAGTAAATTGAAGAAGGGGGTAAAAACCAGGTATGATTGTAGCCCCTCATATAACCACAAATATTATTGATAGTTTATTTTTAAACTTTGGCTAATTCTCATCTTAATACATTTCATGTAAAATTCAGAGTTGCCCATTGAAATATTGAAATTTCAAGATTAATGTCTATAACAAACAATTTTTTGCGTATTATATTTTGCTTTAAAAAAATAAAAGCAAAAACCTATTCTGATCTGGAATTTGAAGACAATTAGAAAATCAGCTGTAGGAAGATTTTATCAGAAGTCTAACTTGTTGGAAATTTTCAGTAGTTAATTATTGCACATATATATTACATTTACTTATTTTATTAGATTACTTTTTATTTTTAAATCAAAAAACAAAAATTTTCGAAAGGATTCTTGCATAAACTGCTATCAAGTACCTTCTAGAAAATTTCTGCTAAGAAATATTTTTACACTTTAATTTTTGAGAAATTTTAACTTTATAAAATATTCATTCACCACAGTTTTTATAAAAATATTGTCACTGTTTCCTCTGTAACCATGTTTAGAATTATTATTATATTTAATTGTAGGCATATTAAATCTACCCTTTGTTAAATGTAATTTTAAAACCAGAGAAATCCAAGCAGCCAAATAAATTTGGGATTTCTTTATACTTTGGGAAGATATTTCTAACCAAAACCAGGTTTAAAAAAATAACTTGAGGGTCAGCCAAGTGGCTCATTGGTTAAGAGTTGGCTTGGGAGCGTGAGCTCTGAGCAGCAGGGCCGCCGGTTCTGATCCCACATTAGGGCCAGTGACACTGTCCTCTACAGCTAAGATGCTGAACAACAAACAGCTCGACCTGGAACTGGGCTGCGGTGAATCACCGGCGATAGCGCAGGCTACAACTGTGCTTCAGTGGGCTGCTGTAAGCTACCGTCAGTGGCCAGCAGCCGGCGCGAGCTGGCATGAGCTGCCATGAGCGGCCGTCCAATGGCCGGCAACGGATCTGCCTCAGCCAAGAAGAGCGCAATGATCACAATACCAACATGGGCCAGTGAAGTGATGTCCTCCACAACTAGACTGAAGAACAAAAGGACAGCAACTTGTCTGTTCCCCTTCCCGGATTCCCCACCGCTGTTCCCAATTCCCCAATAAAATCTTTAAAAAAATAAATAACTTGATTCTAAAGATTTATCTTGAAATTCAAACATTTACAAATTGTCAAAGAAAAATAAAAAGATATAAGCATCAGAAAAGGAAGATGTAAGAATAAAATGTGCAAGCAAACTTGCAAAAGATACAAAGGAGTCATACTTCAACGACTGGCTGGCCAAATAAGAAAACATGGCAAGTATTTAAACAGAAAAACCACAGAAAATTACTAAGGCTGCTAAGTTTACATTAGACTATTCATAATGAGAAAACAGCAACTATTGCAATCATTGTATTCACAAAGAAGATTGTGACGTATCTTCAAGTAGATATGGTGTGTGTGTGTGTGTGTGTGTGTGTGTGTGGAGGGGGGAGGGTCTGGATTTACAGGACATAGTCAAGGTTTTATTATTTGGGGACCAGAACCAGTCAGCTTAATTTTGCTTGATCTCAGGATGCAAAGTATTGTTTTTCCAACTGTAGAATGTGAAGTGCTCATGGTATTGAAATCAGGGCAAAGTGTCAGATTTTACTTCTACAAAAATGCACATTTTTACTTATTGACCACTCTATACTTGTCCCTTACTATGAATACACAGGGGTTTACATGGTTATTTTAAAGGGTTTTTGGGCTGGCAGAGTGGTGCGTTGGTTGAGCTGGCTTGGGACACCACAGGGCCCCGGTTCGGATCCCACATGAGGGCCAGTGACACTGCCCTCTACAGCTAAGATGCTGAACAACAGCTCAACCTGGAGCTGGGCTGCCTTGAGTCGCAGGCAACGGCTGGCAACGGCGTGGGCTGCAGCCCCTGCTGCAGTGGGTTGCCATGGACTACCATGTGTAGCCAGCAGCCAGGGTGAGCGGCCAGCAGCCACTATAAGCGGCCGTCCAGAAGCCGGCGACTGATCTGCCTCGCCCTGGAAGAGCGCAATGATGGTGCCAACTTGGGCCAGTGAAGCAACATCCTCCACAAGTAGACTGAAGAACAAAAAGGACAGCAACTTGTCTGTTCCCCTTCCCCCAATTCCCCAGTGCTGTTCCCATCCCCCAATTTCCCAATAAAAATCTTTAAAAATAAGTAAGTAAATAAATAAATAAATAAATAAATGGTTTTCACATGGTTAATTTGGTTGGTCTCTTAAAATACCTTCTCTTTGAATTTTTTTAAACTTGTACTAGCCGAAATTCAAGCACTCTCACATATTTCTGATGCTACCTAACAGAGATTGGCACTCTTTAATATGTATCTCACAATCAACTATCAATGCTGATTTCTTGTTTAACAAATTACTAAAGCCAAGCTTCACTTATAATAAATCTGCTTTAAAAGAAATGCAGGTTAATATGAAAGTAATCTTAAAATAAGCTTCATAAAGGTGAACAGAAATAAAGTCACTTTAAAATATTTAAATACAATATAGATAAATCAAATTTAAAGTTTTTAGGGGGAAAAATCATCTTTAAGTCCAGATGCTAAACTGGTTTGGTATCAAAATTAAAGAGCACCAGAAATAAAATTAGGTTTATAACCTCCTTTAATCACCATTTTAACACTCACTTAAAGTAGATTTAATGCTTTTCTGGAATACTTAGTAATATCAATTTTAAATCAAAGTTTCTAAATATTTTTGTGGGTATAGGAAATAATTCCATTCTTAAAACATAATAGTTAAAATAATAAATCATTCCTAAAAAGATGATCATGAGATTGGCTTTTAGGGTAATTAATCCTATCATTATCTATCTGTTATCTATCTACCCACAAAGTAACTAAATTTTAAGGATGTTGTTGGAAACAATACTATGTCACAGTGATTCAAACTTTTCAGTCTATCCACAACTTTGAAACAAAAATTACCATTCCATTATTAAAAAAAAAAAATCATTGTTTTCTTTTTTGGTCTTTCTAAACTTTGTTACCCTGCTTGGAGATGCTGCACTCTTCTGGGCATAGAATTTCATTGCAGTTATCTAAATTACCAAGCCATAATGTCAGCTTTATCAAACAATAATTTCCCATCAACAGAAACTTCAGATGTATGACTCATTTCATACAAAACAAATACACAACAAATAATGATGGTTCAAATGAATACTTAAATAAAAAGTGTAATAAGGATTTTTTATTTATATTTTCTCATAATCTAACACCTGAAAGCAACTGTATTGTGCACACCTTCCTGAAAGGTGCCAGCTGTTTCCTTTGTTTTAAGACAACAAGCAGAAATAGAGCTAAAATCATGTTTCCAGAGAAAGGTGAGAGACAGGACAAGCCTGCTACAAACTACGTTCAAAAATAGGAAGTCAGTCAACTTTTTCCTCTCTGATAACCCTTTATTTGCAGAGTAACAGAGGAATTACAAACACATTTTGAAAAATTATATGACTGTCTTGAAAACAAGATCTATTGGGCCAAGTCCTTACTTCCATGGAAGTAGTCAAATCCAAGACTTAATTTCAACACAGTGTTCAAATTTATTACTTGAAGCTCTGGCAACATAAAACTGTCTTCTTTAAATGGAAAATGTGAACAACTTCTATGAGGTAAATGAATGTTGAAAGTGGGAGTGGATGGCGGAGGCACACGTTTTTTTTTTTAACGGGGAGAGGACGCACACGAAGACTCCTAAGCAACCATAAAACTAAGAGACTTAGGATGTTAGACCAGGGAGCTCAAAAGCTCCCCGGATCACAGCTCCTCACGTAGAGACTTGGTTTGACTGCACCGGGGAATCCCTTGCCTTGGGGGAAAAGAGGGTAATTATTGAAGACGCGCTTCCGAACGACCCAGGGTCGGGTGATTCTCTTGGAGGCGCTGCCCTTCCCGGGACCCCCTCCGGGCAAGCCCCACTTGGCCTGGCGCGGGTCCGAGTGGGCTACAGGGAGGTCCAGCGTCAGCTCAGGCGCCTCCTCGGCAACTGGAGAACCACCACCCCACCGCCGGGACCCGGGCCAGAGGCCAGTGCAGGATAAGCTCCCCGACCCCGAGCCCCGCCCGACTGGGCCTCCGTCGCGGCTCTGACAGCCCTCCCCGCTACAGCTCCAGCCAGCCTCGCGCCTCGGGGACACACGACCTTCCCGCCCTCCGCCGGGCCCCCGCGAGGCTGCGCTTCCCGTAAACTCCCCGCCCCGCGCGGTTCCCTCCCCGCCTCGGCTCCGCCCCCGAGGGACCCTGAGCGGCGCTTGGATTGGCCCGGCCATGCCATCACTCTCCGGACGCGTCACCGCCCCCGTTTCCGACCGCCCGGAGACCGGCAGCGGTGTTAGTGCTCGCGGGGCCGCGGCGGAGGGCATCGTGCTAGCCTGCTCACTCCCGCTCGCCCGCGGGTCGGCGCGCTCGCCCAGTGGAGCGGCGCCCCAGGCTGCGGGGCTGCCAGGCTGCACACCCACCGCTGCCTGGGAAGCAGAGACAGCTAGTCTAGCTCCGAGATGGGGAGAGGGCGAAGTTGACGAGCTCCCTACCCACGTTGCGCCCCTCCTGCCCCGAGGTGCGCTGCCCTGTCCCGGAGGTGCCCGCACGCGGCCCTGCGCCAGGTGTGCGCGGGACACCCCGCCCCCTGGTACCCGAAAACTTCGTCCCAAGTTCAAAGAGTGGACTCCGAGGGCGTTGCCCGGAGCCGGACTCCCGACTCCGCGCAGAGGGAGCTGTCCTAGCGGCTTGCACGGCCGTCGGAGGGAGTTGACCCGCTGGAAACTTTATCACCATCATCGTAAATACTACGCTTTACTGTTTCTCTCCCCCCAGGGGCTGCATCCAGCGGTCTGTCGCGCGTACTTGCTTGCCAAAGGAGCCGCCCCAGGAAGACCCAGGGGGGAGCTGTTACCCCAGGGGATACCTGCAGCCCAGCCCAGGGTTTTGGGCGGCCTGGATGCGCAGGATTCAGCACCGCAACCGCTGACGCCGGGCGGCGGCGAAGTTTGGCTGCTGAGCGGCGCGGCACAGGGCCACTGGACAGCGGGCAGCCGGGCGACCGCAGCGGCGGGAGCGATGCCTGTGGGGGGCCTGTTGCCGCTCTTCAGCAGCCCCGCGGGCGGCGGCCTGGGCGGGGGTCTCGGCGGCGGCGGAGGTGGTGGCAGGAAGGGGTCGGGCCCCGCTGCCTTCCGCCTGACGGAGAAGTTCGTGCTGCTGCTGGTGTTCAGCGCCTTCATCACGCTCTGCTTCGGAGCGATCTTCTTCCTGCCTGACTCCTCCAAGCTGCTCAGCGGGGTCCTGTTCCACTCCAGCCCCGCCCTGCAGTCGGCCGCCGACCACAAGCCCGGGCCCGGGGGGCGCGCCGAGGACCCGGCAGAAGGGCGAGCCCGGCACGGTGATGAGGGCGCGCTCGGGGACCCCGCCGCTGCGCTGGAGGACAACTTGGCCAGGATCCGTGAAAACCACGAGCGGGCTCTCAGGGAAGCCAAGGAGACCCTGCAGAAGCTGCCCGAGGAGATCCAAAGAGACATCCTGCTGGAGAAGGAAAAGGTGGCTCAGGACCAGCTGCGTGACAAGGCGGTGTTCAGGGGGCTGCCCCCGGTGGATTTCGTGCCCCCCATCGGAGCGGTTGGCCGGGAGCCGGCCGACGCCGCCATCCGAGAGAAGAGGGCGAAGATCAAAGAGGTGAGTACGCGGTGCTAGAAGTCCCTCCGGTCCGCGGTTGTTTTCAGGGAGAAACGACAAATCTTTGAAACTCTTAAGATTGTAATATTACAGTGTGTGTGTGTGTGGGGGGGGGCATGGAGGTTTTCCACCAACACCAGCTGCAGTGTCAAAGGCTCTTTCGTTTTGCTTTTTTCAGCATCATAGTAGGTGTAGTCAATTACCAGCTGAGGTTGAATCCCGTTGCTTCTAAGTTGCATGTTTGGGTGAGCATAAGCCACGCGAGACAGATTTGAAATGGGCACGTAGTGTGCAAACTTCCTCTTCCACTGGCTGATACACGTTTAATCGTCCCTGAGAACAGTGACAGTGAAGGTCCCCAACAGCCCCAAATAAGACTTGGACATGGCTTTGAAATGAATCTTGAATGTAAACGCAAAGCATACATCACGCATGATAAAAAGATTCTAACAGCAAGCCAGCACACCCCAGCATTCAGCCATGTGGCCTCATTCTGCCAGGTGGCATCCTGTTTGTTCTTACAGACTATAAAGGTGAAACTTGAGAACTTGCTATCATAGGGGCACGCTGTTGTTTACTTAAAAAAAAATGAAAAATTGCAAAAGCCAGACTACTGCCTCTTGCATTTCTAGTGTAGTCAGAAAAAAAGTATTTCATGTGATGCAACAGGTTTGCCTCCACAATGATGACACAATGACGACAAACTTAATCTAGGACAAACACGGACTTTGATAAGTCTTTCATAATTTCTTTCTCGTAATCCTCAGTTGGAACTTGTAACATGTGGTTAGTTCATGACTGGCTTAAAGCTGAAGACCTTAAAATAATTTCCAGCGGTCATTTTAAAGATGAAAGTGGAAGGCCCAGAGCTCCAGAACCAGCCAGTGCCAGTCATCACTTGAAGCCATGACTTCCTCCCAGTCACCTGTCATCAGGCTCTCTGGACATGCTTTCTTCCACAGCTACTCTCCTATGTGACATTATGCCAGCCTGGATTTTTGTACAGTACAAGCGTCGTAGAAACCATGTTAAAAACATTTCCTCCCAAATCTTGATTCAGATTTCTAAAATACATGATGAATGGAAGTGATGTTTTTGTCATGTTTAAAAAGTTCACAGAGACATTGTGAAAACAAATTTTGTGTTTTGACATTGGGTAGGTAATCAGGAAAAGCAGCTTCCTGATTCCCCCATTTTTAGACAGTAAACAGAATTTTGAGGTGGTGAAGAGGTATTTAATTTGAGTGACTGTAGAATGGAAGCAGCTCTATTGTCATAGGACTTGTGACTTTAAGACCAGATGAATGTGTTTAAGCTGTAATTGAGCAAGTTAAAGTCGATTTGAGTCCCTGTCAGTTGACCCTAGGTAGAGTGCCTCCATCCCTCCTATGCAGGTAGCTTCCTTCCACATCCCTTAAGCCTTTCTGTGTTGAGACCCTTTCTAGGCATAGAAGCCTCCCAGACTTGAGGAAATGGATTTTACTCCCTCTGACAACTTCTGTCTAGCAGTTGCCCTTCACTATGAAATTCTGTTAGAGCTATCAAACCAGGAAGATGGAAAAAAAGCTCTAATTCTCACCAGCCATCTCCCTCCCTGCTTCACCTCCCAACCTGCTTAAAATAGACAATCAAAACCCATAGGTAAATTACATCCAAGCCTGTATCTGCTTATATTTTTCTTAAGTTCGAAGCAGTATAATTCACATGCCTCATGTCTCAATTCCTATGACTACCAGTTTGTGCAGCGCACTGTTGTCCAAGGAAATTATTTTAAATACTAAAGATGTGTAGATATTAAAACACTGTTGGTACTGACCAATAGTGATTTAAAAAGTGCATTTAGAACTGAAGTAGTGGGACAGGAGCAGTCAATTCAGAACAACATATTAATAGTATGCATATCTGTCCCTATTAGATCCATGTTATCTGTGTCTCTGAATCAAAAGATCTTAATTAACCATGTAAAGGAAATTTATGTAGCCTTCTGTGTCTGTGTGGTGCTAACATCTTAGCATGTAGATGTTTCTTAATTGCCCAGTCTTGCATAAAGTAGTGGAACTAAATGTGGCCTTTAAAATTCCATGTGGTGGTAAGAACCTCCCCCACGCCCCCTACAAAAAAACCAGCACAATTAGCTCCAGTATTTAGTCAAAGGCTAATGGGAAGAAAGGGATTTTGGTTTTTCAACAGATTAGTTCAGACAGATGTGTTTCTTTGTAAACCAAAAGAAAGAAAAGGTACTAACTCATGCGATTCTAAAACTGGGCTGTGACTGTTTCTTTTTAGAGAGGAGAGCGTGGTTGCCTGTGTCAGTAGGGCACTCACTGGACTTTACACATTTAGATTCAGTTTCAGACACCACCATGGACCAACGGATCATGCCTTAGTTTTTATCTTTATTGTTCCTATATTTTCTAGTTATTTTTGTATATTTAGATTCCCTATCACACCTGAATGTACTAATAGTTTTATAGTTAACATTTAGAAGATATAGGCAAGTCTAACATGTTGGGAGCTTGGATAGTAATTTCTGAGCCCAACTTTTCTTTTGTAAATTTGTTTAAAGACAGCCAATATGATTTTTATATTGCCAACACAGTTGTGTTACTGGTACTGTGGTCAATTTTTAACAAATTTGGGCCTAGGGGAGACAGTCTGTAATTTTAAATAGGATATTGCCTAGCCCCCTTCATAATAAAAGACATTACCTGCTTTTCAGTACTTAATGGATGGATGATAAATCTTGATGTAAAATTTAAAATTGAAATTAAGACCACCCCCCCCCTTGAAAACTGTAAATAAATTCTGGAATTTTCCTGAAATTGATAATACGTATATAGTACATATTTTCATGAGTTTGATCTTTTAAAAATTGTACTCATGTTTTCCTTAGCCTTACAAAGTAATGTTAGAATAATGAAGTACAGAAATTAAAATAGCACCATGGAATTTTTAGAAAAATGGTCCATTTTAAATTAGAATTTTATTATCATTATTATTATTATTATTATTATTATTATTATTATTATTATTTTGCCTACACAAAGGACTTGCACTGTCCTCCTTTAGGATCTGTGCGCTAATCTTAATTTTTATTTCATTTTCTGGAATTCTGGGACCCCCTGAGTAATAGGGACTGAAGACAGTCAAATTGTCAGAGGAGATTCCTCCCTTCTCAGATTGAAGTTCCCATCATGGGGAACTTCCCTAAATCGGGTAGAGGTGGGGTCGGACAGTCAGCTTTGGGTTTATCAGGTAAGGCTTTAGACTGGTCAGCTGTGGAATTGCTGTTGGCTTCTCTAGGTTTCTCAAAACAGGCTTTAGTTCTTTATCCCAGACCTATTTATATAATCATAAGTTTAAAGAACATTTTCATATTGATGGCTAATAGTTAAAATATATCTTTATACCTTACACTAGCCTTAAGTTGTTCTTGAGTCTATAACTTACTTTCACTATTGACAATTAACCCTTTTATTAAAGATCAGACGTAGGAATAACCTTGACAGATTAAAACAAAATACTTTTATTTTGAAACTTTTCAATTTATTTGAATGGGTAGTTCTGGTGTGGAAAATAGCTGCAAAATAATAAAAACCACAATTTGAAGACCTAAAGGAGCTTGGATACCCTTGGGTTATCACCTTGCCTGTTCTGCTCACCCTGCTCTGAAACACACCCACTGAACGTGGGCAAATGCAAGATTTCCCCACTCATAGGATCTTCCTCAGAACAGGTAGGTCATGGACTGTCTGTAAAGGTTTCTCTCTTTAACAAGTAGATGAATAAATTAAGATTTCAATAGTGTAAGTACTAAAGTAGATGCTGACTCTTGAACATTAATATAGGAAAGCAAGAAAAGATTATTACTGGATAATCAATTATGTTCAGCTCAATTTTCTGTAAGCTACTGATAATTTGCCTGAGAGAAGTGTCCTGTCTTCCTCTTATCAGGTAACTTAAGATTCACATTAAGGAGCTGTATTTATGACTTAGAACCCAGTTAAGGGTGTGAAAAGAGATTAAAAAATGCATTTTTGCGTCATTGCATCTGTATTAGGTGAGCTAATAAACTAAACCACCCTGAGAAATTTACCCTAGTATTTCACATGTGTAAAAGGGCCTTCCATGAGACCTGAATTTGTTGGAATTCAGTGGAGAACTTACATATTTGTACAGAATTATTTCATAATTCATGGTAGTACAAATTCTTTATTAAAGAGAGTTTAAATCCTGTGTCTCAAGGTCACAGGGGAGGAATACCTACAGGTCATTGTGAGTGATGAGGACTAACTATACCTCGGAGGCATCGCAGTTCAGTTCCAGACCACCGCAATAAAGTGAGTCGTAATCTTTTTGCTGGTGGAGGATCTTACCTTCAATTTGTAAAAAAAAAAGCAACATCTGTGAATCTCAATAAAGTGAAATGCAATAAAACAGGTTATGCCTGTACATGGTTAGATGAGAACTGCACTGGAGCCCTCTGTTTATACGCCCTTGCCCAGTAGAGAGCCTGTGGCTTTTTGAGTTCTTTATAACCTACAAAAGCATAAAAAGGTATGTGTTTGTCAAAGATGAGTTTTGATTGGTCAAAATAGGAGCAGCCGCCCTGTGGGCTCCAGAGAATGAAATGACTTTCCCATAAGCAGACAAAAATGATACAGGAGAAACCAGTGTTTGATAGTTTAAGGAAGAGATTCTCTCTTTGGGGAAACTTAAGTCGACTTTTCCCTTCAGTGTTCTTAGCCTAGTGCCCTGTTTATTGAACTACCTCTAAACCCCCACCCCTGACCCCTCATTCTTAAATCTGTTTAAAAGTCTTTTACACAAACTGCAAATTATTTTTTCTGTTACCAACAAAATGCCATAAAAATTAAAACTCTCTGATTTTTAAAACTACACATATATTCTAAGTCATAAAGTATTGTATCTGGCTGGGACCTTAGAGTTAGTTCATCCTGTTCATTTTACAGGAGAGCCCACTGAGGCACAAAGATTGT